GGTGGACGCAAACCGTTGCTTTCATGCAAGGGTGCTGCATGAGAAAAAAAAAACTTCCCTGCTGTCAAAAACATAAATCCTCAAGTTCAAGTGGAGTACACTTCTGTAACTTCCTCTAATCACTTTCAGAGAGCCACTCAAACGGTTTACAAACCTAATCAGCTGATTGATTTTTGTGAGAGAGAAAATAAAAATTCCATTTGAAATAGCTAGTGTTGTGTTTTTTTTGTTGTTGTTTTTTTCCAATAAGGGTTAATTGTACCGTGATTATTTTTGGCATGTCATCCACTTTGATCAAGAGATATTTAGTCATCTTGTGCACAGAATCAGACTTCTTTTCCCCTGTTGAAACATCTTGCCTGGATACAGTTTGTGATGCAGCATGTGTTAAATCATGCATGGTCATTTCTTTTGTTGATTTGCAGATCACTCTAGTGAGATTAATTGGTCCAGTGCAATTATTTCCAAGACTGTTTTGTTTACTATCTTCCACAGTAACAGATCATAAACAGATTTGTGTATTAACTTCTTATCCTGACAAGAGCTTTTTTTTTTACATTTCCATGACAAGATGCTTTCCGATTTAAAAACAACTATCAAATCAAATTTTTAGTATAATTTCCCAAAGTTTAAAGGTTTTGCTAGAGTTCGTGTTTCGACATAAATGACTGTTGAGTTTATTAGCAGCTTAGTCGTCTTTTTGTGTGATTAAATCAATCAGTTCTCTCTGTGGAGGTGTTTTCATGTTATTTTCGGTCAGAAACTATCACTTAGTGTGTTGTTATTGTCTAGTATTAGCTAACAAAACAAAGGTACTCCTGTCACGTCCATGTTGCTTTTCCGACTTGGAACGGACGCAGTTAACTCGGGTGTGACGTCATTCCCAGCTCCGACTTCCCAGTTCCGAGTTCCGAGGTAAATGGACCGCAGTAGTTTAACTTTACTTTAAACGCATTAATTTATTATACAAAGATGTGCTTTTTGGTTTTTATGATTTCTGCAACTCGGAACTAAAACAGTACCATATTATTAATCTTTTTATCATTTTGGCCAAATTTCATCTCCATAAAAGTAAATTTGCGAACAGAAAACCTATTTTCAAACATAATTTGAATGAGCTGCGGCAGTACATAAAAACCATCCAGCACTCTGAGAACCCCAAGGCCCTGAAGACTCTTGAATATTGTATTTATTTTAATTGTGTAAACTGAAGACCCTTCCATTTCGACCCTTCCCTATATTTTTACCTATGGTTTTTATCTATGGTCTTTACTTGTCTTTGTCAACCCCTGGCATGTTCTTTTGTTCGTTAATCTAACTTTGTAACATTGTCTGTGTTTACAATAAAGTTATTAAAAAAAATAAAAATAAAAATAATAAATGGAACGCAGCATAACTCACAAGGACACCTACCTGGAAGTCACTAACTAACATGGTCACTCGTTAAACCGAAACACCTGTTGTTATCCAACATAGTGTTTTCGCGGGATTCATAGCCTCGTGTGTTAGCTGACAAGCTGTTCATGGAGGTGGTTACCAATGTTAATTTACCTGCGATGTAAGACAAAATATAGGTGGTTTAAAAGTAGGCTACTTACCACCGGGCTAAAGGCCTCAAAAAATTTGTGTCCATAGAAAATATAGTCCGAGTATTGCTCGCAAGAAGGAATAAGATGCAATTGTTTCCTGAAAACATTTGGGCGAGCAGTTATCTTGGTTTTGATTTTGAAGCAGCAATTAAGATAACGCCTTTTCTACCATTTAGCTTAACTCAGGTGGTTAGATAGGTATTTAAAAATGGTGGAAATACCTTGAAATGTGGGTGTTGTCCAGTGGCTCTGTAAAACAACCTTTTTTTTCTGATTGTGATAAAAATAGAGGGGAGTTTATATTAAGTGCATCAGTCTTTTACTATTTACAATTCTACAATTCACTTAGCAGACTCTTTTATCCAAAGTGACGTACATCAGAGAGTAAGTACAACACAAGCAAGGATCTAGAAAAAAGGGAACCATGTCAGTAAGAGCAAACGATCAGCTTTGAGTCTGATTGGACACACAGGTGTTGACAGGAAGTGACCAGAGGCAAAACACAACATTGAGGGCAGTTCTTGAGAGCTCTAATCAGTATAGAAACCATCTTATAAGTCGTCGTTATCAAACAAAAACCATCGTCATTACCATCATCATCATCATCAATGATATCGAACCATCATCATTAAGTTAGTAGGTATTCATGAAAGAGCTGGGTCTTTATCTTTTTCTTAAAGGTGCAGAGGGACTCTGCAGATCGAATGGAGTTTGGAAGTTTAGCTTGCTTTCTTTTTTTCAGTGGCATATTATGAAAGATATGTTCATTTTGTTTTTTTTGAGACATTTTGAAAATGTTTCTAGTGTAGAGGCTTTTAATCAGAACCTGGGTCTCCTGACTCTCCATGTATTTGATTGCATTATGCAAACATTTCAGAAATCAAATTAGCCTACCAACACTTAACTGCTCTTGGAATAACTTGTAAATAGCCTACAGTACCCTCACGTAATCCAATGTTTTTAGGAGAGGGAAACTTGTGAACAGAGATAACTCTGTTACCTTAGAGAGGTCATGCTGTCATCGTCAGAGTTTTCCAGCCGTTATGCTATCAACACTTTTCATGATTTTCCAGAGAGGAAGGAAGTCAGTAAACATTCCTTTTTTTTTTTTTTTCCTGGAATAGGAAACTCTGTCAGATGAGAGACATTATGCAACAGACGCTTATGAGTAGAAGATTTTTCAAATCCTTTAATTTGCAGAAACAAAGACTTGAAAAACTCTTATTGCTTATACTTCTCTCTGTGATACCTGTTACCTCTTCATGAACCTGAAAGGTCATCACAGCTTAGTTTTCATCACAGGCTCATTCTGAAGACCACACCCTCTGACCTCAGGGTCCCAGTCGGTCTCTTGTGTGCTCTCCTTTACCTCCCACCCTTCCAATCCACCCAATATTATCTTACCATCAACCAGTTTAGAAGGGGCGTGCTTTGGCATGGAGAAGGAAAACATGACGTATTTGGCAGCTGTAACTACGCTGAGGGGGGAGACACCCCACAGTAAAAACAGCCAGCTGAGTTTTGTTCGTAATCCCAGATTCCACTGCAAATACACGACTCTTGGCCGAGTGGAGGAACAGAGAGGTGGAGAAACTGGAGAGCTGGATGGGATGAAGGATGGGAGGGGATCCGACTTGTAGCTGGGGGACTTGTGTGACATTGAAGGAGAGCTGTGGAGGAGAAGAGTTGGAGTGATATACTTCAGAGGCAACAGAGGCCATTGGGTGGAGAAGGGCTGGTTCAGCAAAATCAGAACAATAGATACATGTATACTTTTACTTCTGGCATCTAGCCATTAGAACTAACTGAACATGTATCTTCTGTATTGTCTTTATTCTTGAGTGTAGACCTGGATGAGAGAGTTTCGGGAAGGAGGAGCCGTTTTTGTCGCTGTTTTTCAAATCATTAAATGTGATCTAATTTGCAAGCCAGTTGGATAGGAAATGTCTCCCTGAGGCTGGGTGTCTCTCTTTTATCCAGGTTAAGATATCATCTTGATCTGCTTGAAAGTCGTTTTCACTTATGTAGTGTTGTGTGTGATATGAACTGATGGATCAACAGGGATTCATGTTTTCTGCGTGTTTTCGTCCCTTACATTAAGGTGAAATATGAGTTCTGATGTTGGGGAGGTAGCGGATGATGATACAAAATAAAATACTAACCAAAAATACTTTAAAGCAGTGGTTCTCAACTGATGGGTCGGGACCCAAAAGTGGGTCGCGGAGCCGTTTTCAGTGGGTCGCAAACATGTGACTGAAAAGTGTCCAAAAAGGTTTTGTTCCTTCTCTTTGTTCTGTCATGTTTTGTACCATCTGAGGTCCAAACTGCACTATTTTCATCCAGGAAATCTGATTGGTTGAAAAAATATTTGGGTCACGATATTCGTGAAGGAGTTGCTTCAAAGTTAATTAAAAAAATACCTGTTTTGTGAATGCAGCAGTACAAAGTATTAGGTATGTGTTGAAATGTGTAAGTCAAAGTAAAAAAGTTAAAATTAAATGCACAAAGTATTTAAACTGTTAGTTGCCAAGGAGAAGGGAATAAAACATTTCTGTCGTAATTAGAGTGTACTGGTTTATTTAATTTATATATACTATGTGTAAGCTAAGGAGTCACCTCACAGAGTTCAAGGTGAAAAACGCTGCGAGTAACAGAGATATCAGCGTATCAACATAAAGGAATGCACACGTCCGCTGGGATTTACACCGTTTAAATCGGCCCCATGCAGCAGTCGGACGGTCTCCGATTATGGATGACCAGATTCGACCCTGTATATTTATGTCTCTGGTATGTGCTTTTTGTGATGGCTTTATGGTTACTGCATAGAGTGATAACAGTCCAGCTCTGCAGCCAGGCTCAATGGCCTTGAGGAAATATTTTCTTTGTAGGGTGTGGAGGGAGACGGTTCAGGGGAGGAATTCCCATGGGGCTTGATCATGTGATGAAAGGAGGTGTGTGTGTGTGTGTGTGTGTGTGTGTGTGTGTGTGTGTGTGTGTGTGTGTGTGTGTAAAGATGGTATGGGAAATAAACGAGTCCCACTGTCACATACAGTGAATGGTGACAGAAAGTGAACACACAGATGGCCATAGTGAGTCGACCTCCAGACTCCAGCATGGGGCTCATGAACATGGCTTGTGCCATTTACAACAGACAGCTGGTGGATGTTTTCACTGCCCCACCCAAACTGTGAAAGACAAAACAGTGTGAAGTGATGTCATTACTACTGCTCATGCAAACCAGCTGCACGTCCATATGGGCTGTGGTTAAATTCTTCATGTGTTAGAGAGCAGATGTATTATATGTATGCATGTGTGTGTGTTCATACATGAGCATGTTCCTGTGGAACCCCATCGCCCTTTTCCGTTGCATGATTGATGTTTTTTTTTGTAACAAAATGAGGCTGAAAACAATTCGTAAAAAGTGATTTCTTTATTTTTTCATGTTATATCCAATTGAAATCACAGGATGCTAGTCAAATGAAACAGTCACATTGGAATGTTAGCAATGAAATAATACACGATAGGCTGAAAGGAGAAGTCAACGTGACACATCCCATTTATATCAGAATATTTTTCTTAGCTCCAGTAAAAACATGGCAGTGTCCGTTTTTTGGTATTAATTCTACAGCAGAGGATTGAGACGAATTAGAGGAAGATGATTTTTTTTTTTTTTTGCATCAAGGAATAAAGTCAAACAGTCGACAAAACTCGTTGAAATTTTCAGTATTGATGCCAGATTGAAAAATAATAATAATCTCAAAATGGTATTTGACCTTTATTGGGAACATTTTCAACTTTATTTATTTACGTACCAGATTCACTTTAATCTGTTAAAATGAAAATGCAAAAGTAGTCCCCCACCTCTGATTTTTTTTTTTTTTGCTCCATCAAGTCCTCCTTTTTAAAATATTTCTAAATGTTAGATGACCTGGATGAGAATTTGTTAAGGGTGCCACTGAGGGACAGTTTTAGTAACATCATCATCATTGAAATGAGATTCTTTGGCACACAACAAGAGTAGATACACAAATTAAAAACAAGGAAAAAAAAAAAATCAAAACTATACACACTGTTCAATAGAACAGTGAGAGTAAAAAAAAAAAAAAAAAAAAAAAAAAAAAAAAAGCATATACAGTATATTGAAGAGAGTAACGCTGACAGATGGATTTGCTCTGCGTCTGAGGCCTTTGGGAGTCTGTTGGTCTCATAGTCAGTCTGGTGATTTTCAGTAGTGACTATGAAGAGGCTTGTTGGCTTAGTGAAAGATGACGCACTACTGTTTGCAGTAAAGATAAAAAGACAACCAGACAAAAAAAGATGTCGCTAAACCTCTCAGTACTCCTCCTTCCTCGCCACAGGGACCAAAACTACAACTTGATTAGTTGCCACTCTGTCAGCGTACATAACAAGAATTCTACATTTTTCATGGCTTATGTCACATGCACATTCAGACTCGTCAACCGCTCGCACACCTAGACAATCGTCCACCACTCGTGAACAACCGCGCAAACGCACAGTTAGCGAGATAAAATGTAAGGATAAACACGCCGTCCGTGCACAGTACAGATGCGAGCATACACACACATGCAGGATTTAAAAGTAGCAATCACACACATACACACGTTTTCACACCGACGCTATCAGTAACCCAACCCATAGACCGTATATACTCAGTGGACGTAGCAAACGTAAAGTTGCAGATTTGGGGGACTCAAGTTTTCAATTTGACCTCTGCCATCTTGATATTTTGTATTTTGTATGATCTTTTTGTAACCACGTCTTTACCCAGATATAATATCACTTTTTCAAGCACAGGCTGCTAAAACACAAAGAAGCCACGCCTTAAAATGTACCCTACTTCATCATCTACTTAACTGTATATGGGATGAGACTTACAGAATGAGGATCACACTGTGCAGAAGAAGACTGGAAAACAGTGATGGAGAGCCTTATGTTTTTTTTTTAGAAAATGTATATGGAGGTAATAAATCTGTGTTCAAGTATTTCTCTGATATCTCAAGGTTGCAAAGTAGTTCTTCCAACTTGCAATCAAATGTTTTGTATTTCCTTACGCAGAACCAATCTAGCTAACTTTTGCTTTGACAGAACCCTCAATCTTAGAGCCTTATACCATGATACGAATGAGCCAGGAGTTTTAAATGCAATGTGGAAATGAATACAACGTCTATGGCTATGTCTGTGGTAAGTCAGGTGTCTAGTTGTTGTCTTCTCGTCCCTACTCGAGATCGTTTTCAAATGCATGTCACCAGTTTAAAAAAAAAGTAATTTTTCCAATTATTGTGACACCATGTGAATGCAGGGTGAAAAAAAAAAAAAAAAAGCAGGAGGACGTCTCATTTCCCAATCTTATGTTGTGTGAGTCGTGTTGCTGGATGCAGCTTTAAGGCACGTCCACTCCGAAACAGAGCGCAAATCCACTCCTTACAAACAGTCTATGATTCAATCACACAAATGACAGCCCCAATGGATTTTTCACTTTGAGAAGTTTGTAAACAGATTTTCAAGGCAGGGTGATTTATTTCCCGTGTCTGTCTAGGCCTTACAAGAAACTATGTGACTTTATGTGCTTGTGCTGTATTCACCAGCAGAGGATTTACAGGAGCTTTTCAAAACCAGACGACATGCAGAGACATGGCTGCAGTCATTATTGGAACCAGTCCTGATTGATGTTAACTCTTTTCCCACCCAGAGGTGCCCATCTCCAGTCGTTCCTCAACAACTCGGGGGTCGAGCCTTCGTCACCGTCGACATCATTCATCACTGTCGTAGTCGTAGTCGTCAGACTGCTTTTCCTGATGTTAATTGAGGCACAAAGCCAAAGGAGGAGGCCCTATGTGGACTGTGACAAGAGGAGCATTGATGTAAAAGATTGCTCTTGTTCCCTGATGTTCACTGGAGTCTGTGTGTTTTGGGCAGAAGTGGATTCAGAAAAGGGGTTTCACAGGGATGAAGGTGTGTGTGTGTGTGTGTGTGTGTGTGTGTTTGTGGATGGGTGTGTTTGTTGGGGGTAGTTCCTGGGCTGTAGTTCTTTGGAGACTGTTTTCACAGCTCGGTGTCTGCCGTCTTGGTGGTGGGGGCGCCGTTAGTGGGAGGAGGAGAAGGCTCGGTCTTGGCTGCCTCAGGAGACTCTCCGTTCACGCTGGGTTTCTCCGGGGTCTCTGGTGGAGGGTTCAGGGGAGCCACGGATACCAGAGTGTTCCCCTGGTTCTCCTGGTCTGCTGGATAGGCCTCCTCTGCCTGCAAATACAGAGAAAAGGTATTAGTCAGCAATGAAAGTTGCCCGGGGCTGTCATTGGGTAATCTCGTCAGCTGGGCCTCATTGAACCAATAGCATGTTAGCCTCATCGTTAGCCTATCATCGCTCTGCTCCTGTTTTTGAAATATGATTCTTTCTTTGCCTTTAGTTCCTTAATGTCCACATTTTGTGCCTATGCAGCACTTTGTTTTAACCTGTTAGTTTTATTCCATTTCTTTTTTTTTTGTCACATGTTTTATACCATCTGAGTTCCAAACTGTACAAGTTTTCATTAGTAGTATTAAAGTATCTTTAATTTTTACAAGGGAGTTGGTAGTGGGTCCTGACTCAGGACTCCTGAGGCTAGACCAGTTAAGAACCAATGCTCTATATAATGGAAAATAAAGGAGTGCGGGACAGGTTGAATTAATAATAAATTACCCTAACAATTAAAGATCGTTAAAGAGTGATAAGATAAGATATGACAAATCAAGCTAGCTTACTTAATTATTGATTTTCGAAGCAGCAGAAGCGGGTAGACGACATTCGGTTTCACTCCATATTCATCAGATTGACATCAACACCTGTCGTCTATGATGTCGTCAGAGCGGTTACTCCTCGTATTGAACTAGCTTTGATGTGAAAATGAAGCACGCTTCTTTCCAAATTGAATAAATATTCAAGGAGCTATTCCTTCGAGTCCTGCCATGCACATTAAGACACATATGTACACTAATGTGTCCAACAACGCCCCCACACACCCTCACACTATTAATCCTGAACACACAATCTCGTCCTCTAATGTGGTTCCCTATCATGTGATCCAGCTGTGCCTGGCTGCTAGATGAAACGGTGAGCGCTGCAGAGGAACAAGGCAGCAGAGAGAGCAGGGCGTGGAGTCTTTGGATAAGGCACACTCGCTCTTTTCGCTGCGCAGTCTCTGTGATAGGGGCCAGAAACATTCCCTAATTAAAACCTTGGCACCGATGATCGACTGCAAGGGAAGGAAACAGTGCTGTTTTGATTTCAGATGTAGTAAAAAAAACATGAACCCTGCCCCCTCCCCCCCCAAAAAAAGGCTACACATGTTGGTGCTGAATCTCTAATGGGGGATTTGATTGCAGGAAAGTAACAAACACAGGGTGAAATAACTACAGATGAATGAACAAACGGCCTCAGGTCATTGCTCAGTGTGTAAGGTCACTCAGATCAATTTAAAAAAACAAGTGATTGAAACAGTAACTTAGAATCATTACAAACACATCAAACTGAGAATTAGCAATGTTCTGTAGAGCCAGCATGAACATGCAGGCAAACGAGGTGTTTAGAGACAACACACAGTGCGCTACAGACGCTCCTCTTACCAGCCTCACTCCTTTGGCATCGCCTTTGCGTGGGCATTTGAAGTAACCAACAGTGATCCCTATGGCGGCAAGCAGACCACTGATCAGGATCCCCACGAAGACAGAGGAACCTGATGAGGACGGGGTCTCCACTTTTGTCACACCCAGCTGCAAAAAAAGAAAAAAAAGAAAGAGTTCCAAGAGATGAGGATGAATGTGTGAATAATGAAGCCATGTAAATCATTATCATCCAGTTCATTTGAATAGAAAAAGAAAGGCCTGCGTAGAGCTCATGACCCACGATGTAGACCGTTAAGTTAAGAGAGACCTAACAGCTCTTTCCACGTCTGCTCGAAATGAAAAAGTATGAGTGTAAACAGACAGTATGCAGAGTAAAAACAGCTGACAATTCATGGGATCATGTTTTCATACACTGCACAGCACAAAGGGAATAGTGGAGCTTAAGGCAGCAACAAAAGTGTCACTACATGTGTCAGGAACAAACCTGAACGGATACAGGTGCTGCTGACGCTATTTTTTTTTTTTTTATCATATATCGCCCTCATCATCAACAACATTGACAGCTTCTTAAGAGAATTCATATCATCATCATCATCATTGTCAGTCCCATCACTATCAATAAGTGTGTAGCTGGGTCTGTTATCCATTTCCTGTTGGTAAAAAATGGTAGATGACGACTTTTTGTGCACTTCCTACTGAAATATTAAACATTTTTCAACTGTTTTTAGTAAACACTGTAGTGTAGGTGAATTTGGAACACTAAGTATGAGGTCGCAGGTCTTAAAAAAAAAAAGGGGCCCACCTACTGGTTGTCATGGGAATTACAGCAAAACGTCATATTTAAGCTTGTAGGTTTATTGTATTTCTAGTCAAACTGAGCTCATTACGCCAATTTTAAGACACATTCACTAGACAAGTCCAGATAAACATTTAACTTCAAGAAATAAAAAGTGAAAAATAAGTTCTGAATTGTTATAAGTAAAAAAAAAAAAAAAAAAAGATCTGCCAACGCAGCAAGCAAATTTGCCACATTCAGCCCAGAGGCTGCAGATGTGAATGAGCTCATAGCTAACTCTGGTACAGCTAGTTGACTACAATGTCTCTTTCAAAACAAACAAATAAAATAAAAGTGTCTTTAAGTGAGATGTACTATCTGAAATGAGTTAGTGTAGCAGGTGCAGCTAAAGCTTTCTTACCTGATTCTTCAAACCAGCACTCTGGACGGCATCAACCAAAGTACTCAATTTAGCTGCAGGGGAAATGAACATTAGAAATACATCAGTGACTTCACTTCATCAGGTATCAGTTGACATTTCTATTGGAGCACAAAAGCACAAGGATGCAGTGTCACTTTACAATATCACATTTATATATGAAACAAACACCCACCATCTTCACTGGCCATTTGGATTGTGTTGCCCTCCTGGGAGATTTTTAGGTTACAGTTTTCCTTGTTACACCAGCCTGCAGGATTATCCTGAATGATGCGTTTAGTGGCATCCTGTAGAGGATTGAATTGGTTTGTCAAAGTCAGTCTCATATTTGTATTAATACATTTCATAAAAAATATTTACTTGCATGTGGCAAATTCAATTTAAACTCAAAACTTGCAAAGGCCTGAACAAGTTTCACATGTACAGCTTTCTTTACACAACATTTTAGACATTTTTTCATCTCCTCTGGGTTATCAAACAAATGCATATTCCTGAGTTTTCCACCCTTACTGAGCATTAGTGCAAGAGGGCCTCTGAGTGCGTAATGGAGACATAATGCAAGTTGGACGGAAAACTTGCTGACCACACCTTCTTTTTTTCCCACCTTAGCCCTGAACTATGAAATCACCTCATTGCACAATTTCTAAGCTTCAAGACTTTGGGAACTTTGTTTTCATTTTGCATAATGTGATCCAGACAGCTCTCAGTGTTCCCAGAGAGCCCACTATGAGCAAACCCCCCAAAATCCTCAGTTAGCAGGGAGTGGACCCACAGCTGGGCTCTGCTATAACATCCAAATATTTTTTAGGTGGGGAGGAAGAATCTCCAGCAAAAAAAAAATCACCCCCACTGGAACCTGCTCTCTTCTCCATCTGTTCGTGTCACAAGTGACCCATAACATGTTCACCTCAGGAATCCTGCATTGTCTCATACCGGGCTTTGCTTCACCTTACGTGGCCTTGTGTCCTCATGGTTGGAGTTAAAGCAGGTTTGTATTTGAATAAACATGTGTCCAAACTGAGATTTCATTTGAATAATGGAATAATGTGCGCAGAATGAGACCAATGTGTGTTTTTTATTTCGTCACATTAGACAGCGTCTTATGTAACCGTTGATGACTTGGGGATTTACAGAGATATGAACCAAATTTCCTCTTATTTTCCACTACTTCAGAGCAGCTTTGCTTTATTAAACTTGGTCCACTGACACAGGACTTCCACGCTATTCTCTCACTCTTTCCTGTCGAGAATAATCTTCTTATTCTTTCTCATTCTTATCCTAAATCTTTTCTTTTTTTTTACATGTATTTTGAAGTCTCGTCAGCTGGCAAAGGCTTCTGGCACTGTAGTGCATGTATAGTTTCAGGTTTAGTTGGACAGATGACTTCTGCAGATGGTGTTGGCTCTCTGGATGACACAGTAATGACCCATATAGAGGCTCAGTAAGGTATGCCGACTGGGATCTGATCCGCTGCTTCCGCTCTGTGCACCTGGACTGACATACTGCACCATTTAAACCTCAGGCGTAAGAGGCATCGAGGCTATACTTAACAATTGGTTCACACAGGTAGGATTTATGAGGGATAGAAAAGGTTGCAAATATGATGTTTTCTAAAGGTTTGAGAATCTCCATGGGGTTTTCGCTGTAAAATAAAAACCCAGACAATAGAGCCACACCCTTACTACTCCTCCTTTTGTCTTAAGGACCCCGGGGTGAGAGAGGAAACATCAGCCCTCCTCTTCATCTGTCTCCCGCCAGAAACACAGTCTCAAGATTTACAACGTCTGCGGAATGTCTGAGAAAAGATCCGCCTTTATCAAGTCCATATTTCCAACTGTTGCTCTTTACAACACATTCATCTTTTTCCTTTTCGGTGGAGTGCAGGCAACTTTCTCAGGACCCACAGTGAAGGAGTATTCATTTTCTGTCTTTATCATGCAATCAAACAGAATAGTTTTTAAAGATTTATTTTTGGACTTTCTATACCTATGTCGTTCCCCACTCGCGCTCTCTTCCTTCTTTATGACTATATCCACTGTCCTGTCTCTAAAATAAAGGCATAAAAGCCAAAAAAGATGAGAGATGTCTTGGATTAGGAATAAAAATACAAGACTCAAAAGAGTAACTTTTGCTTTTGCAGACAAAGTTTTTGATGCTTTTTTTTTAAACTTTTGAATGCCTTAATTGTAGAGACAGGACAGTGGAGAGAGTCAGAAACCAGGGAGAGAGAGAGAGTGGGGAGTGACATGCGGGAAAGGAGCCAAACGTCGGATTTGAACCCAGACTTGAGGACTACACGGGGCATGCGCACTAACCACTAGAATGGCTCCCAAAACTGTTCATTTTTGTTGGCAGTGTCAGTTGTTTTGCTTTGCAAAGCTTTCTTTTTTGTAGTCATGCTCTTTAATCTATAATCTATATCAAACACACAAAATTGAATTCATACATGGAGCCATATAAAAGTCTTGGTAAAGGGAACAAGTCACTTATCAGGCTCAGCTCCTGTTCCTCTCTTCTCTTAAAGTTACATGCCAAAATCTCAGCAGTGGGAGTTTGGATACTGCCTGTTGTTGTCAGGGAGGTAAGCAGGACTTTTAGGGTTTTAGCTTTGGTGATGATGGATTGCTATTTGAGGAGAATATTCTACTTGAAAGTCATATTGTGCGAGCGTGAAGAGGTGAACTCATACTCACACAGTCAGTTGTGACCACCGTAACCTTGATAGCACTTTCTGGTATGTCCTCTTTTCCAACACACTTCACATCAGGCTGTGGATGCAGAGAGAAAGGTAATCACAACATCAGTCATCCACGGGAAACACATGGGCCATCAAGACTAAAGTGATCTATTTTACAGAAACATCTGTACAAATGTTAAACAGCCTTAAAAACGACATGTTTAGTCTTTAAGTGAGTGGTATTTCTTTTTGTTCTGAAAGCCTCCGGATGTTGAAAAGTCAAAAATTGGGAACATAAAGATTACCCACCACCACGGCTTTAACAACACTGGTCACTACTGGAACCACAGCAGCTGAGGCTTTGTCTTCTACAGTGGCAGGAGCATTGGTCCCTGAGGTGCCCCCACTAGAATTGAGTACAACATTTATGATGGTTGCTGGAAACACACTATCTCCAGGAGCAGCAGGTTCTACAGTAGCATCAGCAGCAGCATCAGCAGCACCAGCAGCAGCATCAGTCGGGGGAGCACCTGCATCTGGGGCAGCTGAGGCATCCGTAGGTGCACTGGCAGCTGAAGCATCTGTCACTTAGAACATAGTAAAGAAGCAATGCTATTAGACACAGGCACACACTGTTAAAGGCTTTATATGCTTTATATTTTTCACACTTAAATCAAGTATATCCTCTGAAAATAACTCTGTGAGTCATGACTGTCTACAATGGATGTAACACTCGAGTCCCACTGTCTGTGATGCTTTCAGAGTTTTCGAGTCCTATCTTCAGTTTGTTTACATCGCCGGGACGATCGGCTGACTCCTCCCCTCGTGTATAAAAGTTGTTTAATTGAGGGACTAGAGAAAAGAAGAATAACATACTGTACTCACTGCTTAACTGTGTTTCTAGATCACGCTCATTTCAGGTAAATTTACATGCAGTGTGAAGATACGAGCACAATAAAGATCGCTAGCATTAGCATGCTAACACAACAATGCACCGCGACTTGTTTTGGTTTCATGCTGGTGCTCAAGGGCGACATCTGCTGGATCAAAAAATCGCATATAAAGCCTTTAAGGTTTTTTGTCTGTCAGGCTCGGATTTTTTATTCAACATATTTACTTATCTTTCAACTACAGTACTTTTTTTTTTTTAACCTCACCTTTTATCGTTTTCTTAGAACATTTCAATATTGTGTTTGTGTACGCATATGTTTGCAACATGAAAATGTATTAACGTTTTCTCAAGGCTCTTACCAGCACCAGGGTCTGCGGCTGGGTCAGCTGCGTCGGTGGGGTCTGCTGCTGCTGCAGCATCATCATCTTGACACATCACCTCATCTGCAAGGGAAGGAAACACATGGAGGAGTTAAACATGTTCATCTGATGAATCATTTGTCTTTGACGCAGGCAGGAGTTAAAACCTGTGCCATGTTGTTGTTTACATGAAAGTTCTCTTCTTCTTTTCTCTAATGCAACCTTGTATCTGAACATAATTGTGCACTAACTTTTGCAACTGTATCTCCCATGATTTGGATGCTTTTGTTTTGCCAAGTATAATGTTTCTAATTGCTGCAGTAACCTAGCTGTGGTCTACAACTTTTAGTGGGAAACTATGATGGGTTAAGCCAGATTTTTCTCAGTGGCTGGTACAATGAAATGTAAAAAATATCTGGCTACGCAAGACTACTTAATCCCTAACTCCTACCAGGTGTCATAACTAGGCCCCAACCTTGACTATCTTTCTACTATGCCTATCCGTAACATGACCTAAGCCTCGAGCCCAAATCAGGGGGTGGGGCAATGGGGAGACAAAGTTTGAAGGGAGGGGAGCAAAATTCGAGGGGGGAACAGGAAAGACTTAGGGTATCTCAGGATAAAATTTCCAGCGCACACCCAGTTGAATGCTTGTGTCAATGAAGTCAGGGCTAAGGGGTCATTTTGGCCTGGTTAACCAAACCTTGTGCCCAACCTAAAGATACCAAAACAATTTCCCATGTGTGTCTGCAGCCTATGCACACAGTCAAAAGGTTATTACCTCCTGACTCCACATCCCTCCTCTGGGAGTGATCATGTTTCTGGAATAATTTTGGGATTAGGTTGGGTGGTGCTAAAACCTTTCGGGCAAAGAGGGTTAAGAAAAGTAGGAAAACATTTCCAAAGGTCATGTGAGGTTTTTCTAAGCTGATGAATGGATCGCTTCCTTTTTTTTTTAAGTCGAAGTCTAATTTGTGACACCTTATGATCAAGTTTATGAGATAATGTTATTAGACCGCTCTTTTATAAGGCAAGCTATTACTGTGTTGTTTTATTTCTCTCATGTCTTTTTAAGGATTGCAAATTGTATCACCCTGATCCCACCGCTACAACCGAAATGAAGCCACGAGTTTACGCCCCAATGGGAATCACACTGCTTATCAAAATCAGAGAACTTGTTTCCAATTGAATTCAGAGGCTGACAAAGACAACAGCAATGTTATCCAGTTCATCCAGCAACACTTTCCTCTTTCCTTGGCATGGAAGGAAAACAAAAATGTGTTTAAACAGTTACAATTCTAACCAAAACCATGCTGGAGTCAGAGGGAAATGTGTTTTGAGCACCACTGTCATTATTTACAACACCAGCACACACAAACTTGTAATCCTATAAACACGTCTGACTCTAACACCGGCTGGAATTGGTTTCAAGCTCTTTTAAGGACAGTTAGCAAACCAACTAAAGGGCTTGTTAAAGGCTGGCCAACCATGATAGTAGGCCTAAACCTTCTTCAACATGCACTGTAATATATTGTTCCATAATGTCGGACGATTTGTCTAAACTGAGGCGTCAAACTGGTTGAAAACTGTCCAAGGTTGTTCTTAAAACCAAGACATTATAATACAGAAAAAAGGGGCCACTTTATCTGAAGTTTGACTCTCGTTTCGTCCTCTAACTCATTAACTTGGTTTTGCAGGATGACATACTGTAGAATGGACACAATGAGTGTTGCAAACAGGGAACTTTCAGCAAATAGTGATGGGTTCGATTCCCATTTCAAAGAAGAGGTGACTTTCTTCAGCAATTCAATCAAACAGAACATTTTGAGTTATGTTAGTTTTGATTCAGTGCACATTAGTTATGAAGTATAAGTTGTGTAAACCTAATCAATGATCTTTTTCAGAAACCTAATCAAGTAGTGAACAAGTGGGATTACTTTGCAACAATGTGTTTATGGTTTTTGTTCTTCCAAAAGTTTTTAATGTGAAACATTGGTAGACAAACATTATTTTGAAAATTGAACTGACGTTGCATGTCTAAAAATGTATTCACTGCTGGTTAACTCATGAGCTGGGCATGTGCCAAACTAAGAAATGAGCAATAATAAGTCATATTTCAAAACTTAAGATGCCGTGTTTGATGAGTTAGTGAGGATCTGATGGGCAAACCTTTCTGCACCGTATAAGATGGTTTTACACTGACATTTCTCACACAGCTGTCTGAGCTGATAGTGTTGCAGTGTGTTTCCAACCTGGCGGCCCTTCAGCATCAACATGAAGCCTAAGGACCGCCAGACTCAACATAAACAGAGAGGAACATACATAACACTCTCACTCCATAAACACAACAGCGATCCCTCTCTGGGGACTTTGACGGGTTAAGACAGCACACGTCTGAGGCTGCAGTCCATGTAACCTCCTGCTCCTCTCCACTCGCTTACTGTACTCACATCATGTGGATTTCCTGCCCTGGCTGTCCTCCTTTGAGCTTTCAGTCTGTGTGTTCTGGTCTTTGACGTGGTGTGTGGTTATGTACTGTAGCTGTGCCAGATGTAAAGGAACTAAATCATGGGTTAAAGAGAGGTTTCAATATAGTCCGTTTAAAAGCAGCAGCAGTTTTTCTTTTTTTTTTTGGCATGCGGCCGGGCAAACTAAGGGGCAATAAAAAGGCAGGACAAAAGCTGGTAATGCACCCGCAAATGACAAATGTCATTTAGTGGATGCTTTGAGTGCTTACATGTTTGGCACACATTATCCACTAACGATTGCTTTGCTCTGTCGTTTAAGGTTTACACGACCACAAGTGGTGTTGTTGACACGCTGCTGGAATTCGTTGCAGCTACTTAGAAGCTTCTCTGCCGGCTGACCCAGATGTACCTAATGTACTTTAAATATCAAGGGAATGTAAGCAGCTCCTAAATTCAGTGACACTGTAAACATATTAGATATCAAGTACGTAAATAAAGCAACGCTAATCCCTCGGAGGATTGTAAAACATTTCACAACCGACAGCATCATAAAAACAGAGAAAAAGATTAAGAGAGGTTGTTACTGAGTCGATCAACCTCAACTGAACTTGATCAATTTACTGCTTGGATTCTTGGATCATACCACATTGAAATAAGTCATAAGTCATGAAAAATGCACCGGAGTGGGTATATAAACAAACACATAAAGAGATAACACCAAGATTAATTTCAAGGATCAGCTCTCTGTCAAGTGTTGAATCATATATTTCCACTCAGACTTAAGTGGACTCAGGAGATTAAGATAAGACGGAGGGAGAGACTGTGTTTTGTCATCAATGGACGAAGTGAAGACAGATTTTTACATCTCGTTCTGTTCCTTCCTAGACTGACCTCCTCTCAGCCCTGCTCCTCCACCTCCTCCTCCTCCTCACTGGGAAAAAAAAACATTCAAACTCCCCTTAGTACACAAACAGACACACCCAGTGACAGTGAATGCAGTGGTCTGAAATATCTCTTAAGAAAATGAAAACATAGCCAGTTAATTAAGAGTGTAAATCTTAAATCGATAAACCACATTTAATATTCAATGTTCCAATCTAATGCAATCACTTCTGTTGAGTGTCAACTGCACAGCTTTGAGGCTGAGATGTTGAAGCGATGAAGCGCCATCAATGAAGTGGATATCATAGTGAAACCAGAGTTACCTTCAGGCTAAAGTGGATTAAAAAACGAACCGCCTTATGTAAAGTGAGACACTATTTATTTACTAACATATTATTTGATGCTTGTCATGGGATACTTGGCGGAGGTTTTCAAAAAATGTAAGATGCTTAAGATGCTTTCTCTCCCAATTTCCGACACTTTCCACCGTCCTGTCAATAAGACGCATAAAAAAGAATGCCCGAAGATCTCAAGCTTTTGTTTAACCTTTGCTACTTTTCAACACTTTCAATGATTCAAACATATTTGTAACTTAAGGACAGTGCTTGAGTTAAGCGTATCAAATGCTCATAGTCGCTCTCCTTTCTCAAGTCGAGGAAAAAGCCCATAGAGATCTACTGAATTAATTGGGCTGGCTAGGGTCAAAGAAAATGATCGCAGACTATTATTCTGTGATTGTATGACTGCTTGTGTTTTCATGGGAAATGTGTTCAAAGATGTTGCCGCGTTCCTACATAGATCCTCCTGCACCATTTACTAAAGCGAGTACAAACCAACAGAACCTACCGCCAAACAGACAGAAATAAAACCTACATTGTAAAGCATAGTTCTGTCTTCTACTCAGGTTAATTCTCTTCTTTTTTAAGATTCTTATGAATAGGTTAAAGCGTCTCTTTCTGTCTTTGTAACATTGGACTCGAAGGTGATATGGTTTTAGAACAGTGAGCTCACAGTCAGCTGGAATAAGGCAGCGCGCTACAAGAGTGGATCGTTTATTGCACACAATGCTCGGCCTGTAATCGCTCTCTGTTCTGTTAACGGTTGCATGCGTCAGCAGTGAAATAGACCACGTCTACGTGTGTGCACTCAAGATAAAGGAGCAGTATACTGTGAATATTCATTCCCTCATTGCGTCCCTGTCATCTTTCACCGTATCTCCTGTTCCAGCACTCTGACTTAGGGTGGGGAACAGTGAGCAAATTGCAAGAGAAGTAAAGACGCACTGGACGGGGCGCAGTCAGAGAACAAGCAGGGGACAGCAGCTGCAGTAAGTCTCCCTAGGGAGCTCCTCCCATCCTTGCTTATGTGCTGTACTGTCAGAAAGCTGTGAAGCTTCTGACATCATCTGAAGGAGGAAACACGTCAGCTCTAACTCTTGGGATTTGCATTCGACCTCCACCCTGACCACAGAGATGACACCTTGGCTGTCACGCACTAATGAGCCACACCCCTCCTCTTGGTCTTCATCCATATTGTCTGCTTCCAGATGTGCACAGAAGACCCTAAAGTCTTCCTTCAATCCTGTTTTTTTTTTCTTTCCCCCTAGGAGATACGCCACTGCAGTTTAAGCCAGGAGCTCCTTTAGTTCCAAAGACCATGAAAGGAATCGGGCGATTAAGCAACGCTGAAGAGAGAGGGAGGACTTAGTAAGGCCAACTGTAGAAGAGACAAATG